TCAATCTTTACCTTCACTTACTCCACTACACACTCCACTTCACCTAACCCACTATCTCCTCCACTACACCTACTACCACATTTTCTTCTATATATAGATTGTATAGGAATTGTAATTCAATCAATCTTGTAATACATCAATACATCAATCAATCTTTACCTTCACTTACTCCACTACACACTCCACTTCACCTAACCCACTATCTCCTCCACTACACCTACTACCACATTTTCTTCTATATATAGATTGTATAGGAATTGTAATTCAATCAATCTTGTAATACATCAATACATCAATCAATCTTTACCTTCACTTACTCCACTACACACTCCACTTCACCTAACCCACTATCTCCTCCACTACACCTACTACCACATTTTCTTCTATATATAGATTGTATAGGAATTGTAATTCAATCAATCTTGTAATACATCAATACATCAATCAATCTTTACCTTCACTTACTCCACTACACACTCCACTTCACCTAACCCACTATCTCCTCCACTACACCTACTACCACATTTTCTTCTATATATAGATTGTATAGGAATTGTAATTCAATCAATCTTGTAATACATCAATACATCAATCAATCTTTACCTTCACTTACTCCACTACACACTCCACTTCACCTAACCCACTATCTCCTCCACTACACCTACTACCACATTTTCTTCTATATATAGATTGTATAGGAATTGTAATTCAATCAATCTTGTAATACATCAATACATCAATCAATCTTTACCTTCACTTACTCCACTACACACTCCACTTCACCTAACCCACTATCTCCTCCACTACACCTACTACCACATTTTCTTCTATATATAGATTGTATAGGAATTGTAATTCAATCAATCTTGTAATACATCAATACATCAATCAATCTTTACCTTCACTTACTCCACTACACACTCCACTTCACCTAACCCACTATCTCCTCCACTACACCTACTACCACATTTTCTTCTATATATAGATTGTATAGGAATTGTAATTCAATCAATCTTGTAATACATCAATACATCAATCAATCTTTACCTTCACTTACTCCACTACACACTCCACTTCACCTAACCCACTATCTCCTCCACTACACCTACTACCACATTTTCTTCTATATATAGATTGTATAGGAATTGTAATTCAATCAATCTTGTAATACATCAATACATCAATCAATCTTTACCTTCACTTACTCCACTACACACTCCACTTCACCTAACCCACTATCTCCTCCACTACACCTACTACCACATTTTCTTCTATATATAGATTGTATAGGAATTGTAATTCAATCAATCTTGTAATACATCAATACATCAATCAATCTTTACCTTCACTTACTCCACTACACACTCCACTTCACCTAACCCACTATCTCCTCCACTACACCTACTACCACATTTTCTTCTATATATAGATTGTATAGGAATTGTAATTCAATCAATCTTGTAATACATCAATACATCAATCAATCTTTACCTTCACTTACTCCACTACACACTCCACTTCACCTAACCCACTATCTCCTCCACTACACCTACTACCACATTTTCTTCTATATATAGATTGTATAGGAATTGTAATTCAATCAATCTTGTAATACATCAATACATCAATCAATCTTTACCTTCACTTACTCCACTACACACTCCACTTCACCTAACCCACTATCTCCTCCACTACACCTACTACCACATTTTCTTCTATATATAGATTGTATAGGAATTGTAATTCAATCAATCTTGTAATACATCAATACATCAATCAATCTTTACCTTCACTTACTCCACTACACACTCCACTTCACCTAACCCACTATCTCCTCCACTACACCTACTACCACATTTTCTTCTATATATAGATTGTATAGGAATTGTAATTCAATCAATCTTGTAATACATCAATACATCAATCAATCTTTACCTTCACTTACTCCACTACACACTCCACTTCACCTAACCCACTATCTCCTCCACTACACCTACTACCACATTTTCTTCTATATATAGATTGTATAGGAATTGTAATTCAATCAATCTTGTAATACATCAATACATCAATCAATCTTTACCTTCACTTACTCCACTACACACTCCACTTCACCTAACCCACTATCTCCTCCACTACACCTACTACCACATTTTCTTCTATATATAGATTGTATAGGAATTGTAATTCAATCAATCTTGTAATACATCAATACATCAATCAATCTTTACCTTCACTTACTCCACTACACACTCCACTTCACCTAACCCACTATCTCCTCCACTACACCTACTACCACATTTTCTTCTATATATAGATTGTATAGGAATTGTAATTCAATCAATCTTGTAATACATCAATACATCAATCAATCTTTACCTTCACTTACTCCACTACACACTCCACTTCACCTAACCCACTATCTCCTCCACTACACCTACTACCACATTTTCTTCTATATATAGATTGTATAGGAATTGTAATTCAATCAATCTTGTAATACATCAATACATCAATCAATCTTTACCTTCACTTACTCCACTACACACTCCACTTCACCTAACCCACTATCTCCTCCACTACACCTACTACCACATTTTCTTCTATATATAGATTGTATAGGAATTGTAATTCAATCAATCTTGTAATACATCAATACATCAATCAATCTTTACCTTCACTTACTCCACTACACACTCCACTTCACCTAACCCACTATCTCCTCCACTACACCTACTACCACATTTTCTTCTATATATAGATTGTATAGGAATTGTAATTCAATCAATCTTGTAATACATCAATACATCAATCAATCTTTACCTTCACTTACTCCACTACACACTCCACTTCACCTAACCCACTATCTCCTCCACTACACCTACTACCACATTTTCTTCTATATATAGATTGTATAGGAATTGTAATTCAATCAATCTTGTAATACATCAATACATCAATCAATCTTTACCTTCACTTACTCCACTACACACTCCACTTCACCTAACCCACTATCTCCTCCACTACACCTACTACCACATTTTCTTCTATATATAGATTGTATAGGAATTGTAATTCAATCAATCTTGTAATACATCAATACATCAATCAATCTTTACCTTCACTTACTCCACTACACACTCCACTTCACCTAACCCACTATCTCCTCCACTACACCTACTACCACATTTTCTTCTATATATAGATTGTATAGGAATTGTAATTCAATCAATCTTGTAATACATCAATACATCAATCAATCTTTACCTTCACTTACTCCACTACACACTCCACTTCACCTAACCCACTATCTCCTCCACTACACCTACTACCACATTTTCTTCTATATATAGATTGTATAGGAATTGTAATTCAATCAATCTTGTAATACATCAATACATCAATCAATCTTTACCTTCACTTACTCCACTACACACTCCACTTCACCTAACCCACTATCTCCTCCACTACACCTACTACCACATTTTCTTCTATATATAGATTGTATAGGAATTGTAATTCAATCAATCTTGTAATACATCAATACATCAATCAATCTTTACCTTCACTTACTCCACTACACACTCCACTTCACCTAACCCACTATCTCCTCCACTACACCTACTACCACATTTTCTTCTATATATAGATTGTATAGGAATTGTAATTCAATCAATCTTGTAATACATCAATACATCAATCAATCTTTACCTTCACTTACTCCACTACACACTCCACTTCACCTAACCCACTATCTCCTCCACTACACCTACTACCACATTTTCTTCTATATATAGATTGTATAGGAATTGTAATTCAATCAATCTTGTAATACATCAATACATCAATCAATCTTTACCTTCACTTACTCCACTACACACTCCACTTCACCTAACCCACTATCTCCTCCACTACACCTACTACCACATTTTCTTCTATATATAGATTGTATAGGAATTGTAATTCAATCAATCTTGTAATACATCAATACATCAATCAATCTTTACCTTCACTTACTCCACTACACACTCCACTTCACCTAACCCACTATCTCCTCCACTACACCTACTACCACATTTTCTTCTATATATAGATTGTATAGGAATTGTAATTCAATCAATCTTGTAATACATCAATACATCAATCAATCTTTACCTTCACTTACTCCACTACACACTCCACTTCACCTAACCCACTATCTCCTCCACTACACCTACTACCACATTTTCTTCTATATATAGATTGTATAGGAATTGTAATTAATCAATCTTGTAACAATACAATCAATAATAATACATCAGTATTACTACACACTCCACTTCACCTACCTCTACTCCACTACACACTCCACTTCACCTAACCCACTATCTCCTCCACTACACCTACTACCACATTTTCTTCTATATATAGATTGTATAGGAATTGTAATCAATCAATCTTGTAATACATCAATACATCAATCAATCTTTACCTTCACTTACTCCACTACACACTCCACTTCACCTAACCCACTATCTCCTCCACTACACCTACTACCACATTTTCTTCTATATATAGATTGTATAGGAATTGTAATCAATCAATCTTGTAATACATCAATACATCAATCAATCTTTACCTTCACTTACTCCACTACACACTCCACTTCACCTAACCCACTATCACCTCCACTACACCTACTACCACATTTTCTTCTATATATAGATTGTATAGGAATTGTAATTAATCAATCTTGTAACAATACAATCAATAATAATACATCAGTATTACTACACACTCCACTTCACCTACCTCCACTTCACCACACACTCCACTTCACCTAACCCACTATCACCTCCACTACACCTACTACCACATTTTCTTCTATATATAGATTGTATAGGAATTGTAATGAATCAATCTTGTAAGACATCAATTAATAATATTACATCATTTTTTTAACATGTATTGTTGGGCCACTTTCCTAACAGTTAAGCTTTTAGGACTAGTGATAATTAAACATGGTATTAGAGCTTAGATTAGGTGAGGTGTTGGGTTCAAGTCTCACCATTTGAATTTGTTTTCTCATGTGCATTATGTTTCTCTGTGTGTTTGAATGTTCACATCTGCACATATCAGATGGGATTATACGTGAGGGAGGGTCTTGGAGAGCTTGATATGAATTTGTGGTTCATTTCCTAACCGTTTAAGCTTTGGGGATTAATGGTAATCCAACACATGGAAGTTTAACAGATATATCAAAAATGGACAAACGTAATCTAAAAATCAACACAAATAAAGACTTTCCTATGACTAGTATTTGACTATGTGTGGCTCCTATGGGCTGTGCCTTGAAATTATGCCAGTTTCCTATTTTAGCCACTTCCTTGGATTTACTTTTCCTTGTTTTTGTGTGGACTGTATCAGAATGTACCTTGTTTTTTATTTTGTATTTTTAATTCGTATCTTGTTACAGTTGAACGTCGAATTGCTGTAAGCAGAGCCATTCGTGATGTGGAGACTGACCAGTTGCTAACTGGATTGCGTCTGCTTCGATCATATTTCAAGAAGGAACAGCTGCAGACTCCTGTGCTGCAATTTTTCAAGGAAAACCTTCCAAATCTGTCAATTGTAAAAAATGGAAAAGATGGACAATACGCAGTGCAGTGGAGGGATAAGGAAGGTAACTTATCAATGAACCAGGCTGGAAGAGACATGCACAAACCTCTTCTGCATCGGATATCCATAGCTTATCCTGGCTGCTCTACTGCAATGCAATCCTTTGGTGGCATTGAATTTTCAAGAAAAGCAGGTATGAATAATTTATTTGATGTGTCTAAAAGTTGAATTTCTTGCTTCAATTATATCTTATGTACCCTTTTTATTGGTGACAGTGAAAGCGAGCCTCCTTGGAGCTGATAATCTGCAGATCAGTGATTTTGTATGTTCTTTTGTGATTTCGGTTGCGGCTGCCACATTTGTGTTTGGATGCGCTTTTTTCTCTTGAAAGTTTTGGGGCAAAGTTTTTCTTATTGAACACTGCTTTCTTCTGGAATGTTTCTTGGTGGATGATTAGAAAAGTTAGAATTTTATTATTAAATAGTTTCCAACCATCACTTCAAATCAGACAGGATCTTAAGGATTTTTTTTTTTGAGCCAGCGACATAGTCATAGGTTTCTTTGATTTAAAATATTTGTCTGTGTTTCTAGTAATTGTGAAAGTAATCAAAGCATGGTCTAATTTTGTAATTTTGATCTTATATTCTATTTTGAAATTTTCTGTCTTGTAGGTTTTGGAGGAGCTATCTGATACTCAGATGCTTGGTTTGCAAGATGGTCTCCAGACTCCCGGGGTTTGTTGTTTATTATTGTAGAATTCTTTAGTTTGTGAAGTAACTAAATTTGCATGTCAAATTCATGTTTCCTTCGCGGAAGTAGAGAGGAGATCAATCAACTTATTGGACTCCACATCTGAGTTACAAAATTCAATTTCTCTAATCCAACTCCAGGACCCTCACCCTGCGTGTTGTGTTACGTGGGAATGCAATAGAATTGACAGTCTGAGTACTACTCTTAATTGGTTGGTTCCATGATGTGACTGGAATTTCATGCGAGCACGTGATGGTTTCAATTACTTTTTTCTGCAGGGTTCTGAAGTTGGAAAAAAGGGATTTAAACAGTGAACTTTGTGCCAATTCTTTGCTAAAATCAAAATAAGCAATTTTGTCAAAGTAGTCAATTGGAGAAGAAAAGAGAAAAATGTAGTGTAACAAATAGAAACACTTGTTAAAATTACATAGATCAACTAATGAAATCCATAATAATGAGTTCTTTAAAGTTCTGTTTGATTAGAAAGAAAATTTGGTAGAAAGTGAAAGTAAAAGAAAATGAAGTGAAAGAAAAGAAATGGAAAAGAAAATATATTTTTTTGCAAGCATTTGATTAAGAAGAAAATTTTGTAAGAAAAATTTAAAAGATTAGTTATAGATAACTCGTAGATTCAAATTTTCTTGTGCTTTCTTGTATTTTTTGCAAGAAATAAAAAATTAGTTAAAATGCTAACATAGGTTGTACAAAAAAATTAGTTTCACCACTTTCAAGCTAAACAAACTCATAGAATTTAATTTTTTCTTTTCACTTTCTACCTATTTCATTCTAAACAAACTGAGGCTAAGAGGCCCTGCTGTTTTTTCTTGGAAGCTAAACCAGTGTTTGGGTAGCTGTTGTATTTGCCTTTTGTTGAACTCGATTCCTTAGCTATAATTTGTAACTGCAGGCGAGTAGTCATGGGGGGTTGTCTGTTGGAATGACTCCGAAGACTCTAAGGCTTCCTAAGCATGGTGAGATGCTTTTATCTGTCCATGGCTCACCCCTTGGTGTCTACAAGGAAGACATGGAAGCCATACATGGTATGTATGTTTCACTTTTAGTTGAGATTCTGTATCCTTGTGTTTTTTGTTTTTTATTTTCTTTCAAATATTTAAAACACTTCAAGGAGCTGCTGTACATTGTCAACCCCCAGTGCATGAGGCTTCCCACCACTACAAGGTGTGGGTAGTGTTAGATGTGCACAGCCTTAACCCTGCATGCAGAGACAATTTTAATTACTGCAATGACAATGCTGTCTGGTTTTTTCTAGTGGAAATCCACTGATTTTAATGACTGGTTTGAAAAGCTAATATGCAAAATTGTACAAAAGAAAGGAATAAGGCATATATATCCTTGAATCTAGAATCATGTGGTTCTCTTACTTGGTTGGTGGGTGTTTCTGATTTGTTAAGAGCTCTTAATTGCAGAGACAGAAGAAGGTTGAACTGCCTACCAATTCAATGAACCTCCTGCTTCTGCCTGCTTGTGGATGTGGTCATTGAAGAAGTTTACAGTACTTGCCAACCCCCAAAGGCTCTGCTTATAAATATGGATTTGCCATTTGTTTGTGTCATCATGAGTGAGTGACTGGAATAGATGAAAATTATGTTTATTCCCCAGTGCTAAGTTTTAGTAAGATATTATGAGTATGTGCACATATATATATATATCTTTTATGATGTTCCTTTGTTCAATTGTCTGCCTTAATTATGAGGTCTACATATCGATCCATCTCTTTTTAATTTCATGAGCATGTGCATGTTCATCTGCATGCAGGGTGAGATTGAACTTTAACAATACTGGCAGCAGTTTTTTTTTAAGGATTGGAGTAGATAGTGTTGAAGAAAATGATAAAAGAAAAATGCCTATACAAAACTAACAAATCTTACATTTTTTTTTCAAAAACTTATGTATCAAATGTATGATGACATTTTTGAAACTAAATAGGATAGCTTTAGGTCATCTCCAACGGTTCACCAGATTCGTTATCAAATTTGAATTTGATGAAAAATGACAGCTTTTATCGCTCTAACGGTCTCATCAAAATGATATCAAATTGAGAACGGGTTAAACCTTTCACCAAATTGAGGAGCTGTGGAGGTTTCACCAATTTATTGTGGGTTTACATTGGAAGTGGGTCTCATTGGCCCGGCAGGACGCCCGGCCAGTTGTCCCACTGGTTGTTCGCTTCCTTGAACAATTACCATAACACAGAGTGTATAGTAAATAGTTTGTGCAACCATGACTTTTGCCTAACTTTGAGTCTAAATTGAGATGGGCTTTGGACATCGATTGAGGTGTGTTCGGGTGGAAACACCTTCTTTGTCGGGTGGTGATTCACTTCGTATATTTGGTTGTTCAAACTATTTTTCCGAGTGAATGCGAAATTGACTCTGAAAGAGGTAGTTGAAAAGATTTTCAAAGCATAGTTCTTTTGTTTTCCCTTTCTTTTTGCGGTCAGGTGGGGTACTCAGGTTTCCTTGTTTGAAACCCCACGCCATTTATCTCTCTTCTCCAAAATATGATAACTATGTTAGAAATGGAAAGCCCCTCTCTGTAGGCATATTCAAATCTCTCTCTCTCTCTCTCTCTCTCTCTCTCTCTCTCATGATTTAGCTTTATCATTATTATTGATCTTAACTTCTCGCATAGCTTCCTCAAGGTCTTCAAAATCAAAAGAAGCTCCTTCCTGATTATTGAAACAAAGAAATTATTAATAACCCATGTCAGGCATTAAACCAGTCAATCCAATTCTATGACTTCTAGTCAAACCATGATTCTCGTGCTTCTGCAATTCAGAAATGATGAAAATCATTTTCCAGGGAAAGAAAATAAGAGAGAAAATGAATGAAAGTTGCGAAACAAGAGCATAGAACAACTAAATACATGTAATTTTTCTATGGAGTTCTTGAGAGACAAAAGTCCTCTTCTGCAGTAAAACTCTACAAACAGAAACACAAGAAGTGGAAAAGATCAAAGCTTTCTTAGGTTTTTCGAAGTGCACTTGCCGGTCGACCCACTGGACGTCCTGTGTTTTGATGAAACACTGTTGGAGTGACTAATATCAGATAGAGGAATTTGTCATATTTTTACTCAAATTTGATGAAATTTTTGATGAACCGTTGAAAATGCTCTTACTCTAATAAATGGAAACCTTACCTTGCTTTTTTGTCTCTACTTGGGGCTTTTAGTGACTTGAGGCGAATTGTCAAAGTGAGACCTTTTGATATATAAGTTTTAGCAGTCAGAACTCGTGTGGCTCTAGGGTGTTTACAAATTGGATTGGTTCCAGTTGAGAGTAAATCAGGAATTGTACTGGTTTTTACGGTTCAAAAATTAATTGAGAGTTTCCATTTGCATCTTTTGTAATTGTTGGTGCAATTAATAAAAGTTGAATTTATTCCTGTAAATTGATGTGTACTCTATTATTTGTTAACCTCACTCTGTGCGCGCACGTGCACAAATTGGCCAAGACCAATTGTTAGATCTTGGTGCCAACGCAGGCTAAAACTTGTGACTGATAATTAGTGTTCTGACACCTAGTATGGTTAAAGATGGATTGGTGTTGACATGAATGTAGTCAACTTGTTTAACTAAATGCTTTAGCTTGGAACAAAGGGTGCTTGCTGGACAAACTTGAATCGTCCTCTATTATTTCACTGTCATTTAAGGACACTTTTAAGGCTGAGTATATTTTTGCATTCAAATTTGTGGTGTTCAACTTTTTTTCATGGACCAAGTAAAGCTTCAATAGCCTGCATGCATTCCCTATTCTCTCTCCTATTGCAACCACAAATTGAAATCACAATCTCATTTGGCCATTTGCAGCCAGATGTTCTAAAAAACCCATTCTTTTGAAACAATACAAAATAGTTTAAATCATCTTCCATGAGTATTTTATTTTATTTTTTATTTTTGTTTACAGTTACATGGCTTGTGCATTTTCAGTAGTAAATATTAAAATAAACTACAACTTGCTCCAACTGCACCTCACCATCAACCTCACCACAAAACCTTTGTTATGCGAAACCATTGATGATTATGATATGACACGCATATGATACAGATCACATTGGTTGTACATATCAAGATCTGAATGTTCACTTGCTGAAGACTTCTTTCCACCTGTAAGAAGAACAAATATTGAGTATTGAGCTTACTTAGTAGTCTAGTATAGTATACTATACACAAATCAAATTCTTATACCTACTAAAAATAAGGACATATGTGGACTTGGGTGATGACCTCACCTGTTACTCATCTCGGTGATTATAGTGATGGTTTGTTTGGTTAGATAAACTTCAACGTGCAATCTTTTGATGTGAAACAAAGGCCCTCTATATCATGTATTTATGCATGTCTGTATTTGAGGAAAGCAAACAACGATGTGCTCTTCAGTCTCAATCAAGAGGCTAACACCCTAATTTTTCATGACCCCCACGACACAAATTCTAAATTCTGTGGGCTTGGAGTGATAGAAACACCTCATACATTCAGACATGGTGCTCAAGGGATTGAGCCCAATGTCAATTCTCCAGCTGTTTTTCTAGGTTTCACTTGAACACGAGCTTCAACACACACATACACTCAACAATTACTAATATATTTATGATTCAAAACCAAAAATACAGATAAAAATAGGTTTGAATTTAACAATTGGAATTTAGGAATGTGTCATAGGTACCTAGTACATTTCGACTCAGTTTAATTCTTCAAAGAACGGCAAAATGAAATAGATTCACATGACAAAATATGACATAAATAAACTGTGGTGTCATTTGGCCCCATATATAAAGGCTGACCAGCTAAAAAGTCATGACGGCAATGAATATATATATACTCCCTCTGTCCCAAAATATTAGTCACTTATTCCATTTTTCATTGTCCCAAAATATTAGTCCCTCTTCAAAAATCAAGTACAAAAATAATATAAATTTCCTATTTTACCCTTCTTTTAAATTAATAAACAATATAAAAAGTACAATTATGACATTGATATTCTTAAAAAATGTACTATCAAAAGGATAATTTTGAAAAATCAACTTTTTTCAAATGCAATAATTGTACTACTAAAAAAAGTTAAATTCCCCAAAAGAGACCATTATTTTGGGACGGAGGGAGTATATTTTCTTGCCAAGTAATTACATGGGGTAGGGAAATTGTAACCACCATCATAAGCCATTAAAAGTTCGAAAGCTGAAATTTTGTGCATATTTTGGTTAGGCTATCAATGTTTTGAAAATTACAATGTAAAGAGTTTGTGATGCATTGCACTAAAAAGAACATTTTGCCTAAACTTTATCAGCATATGTATTAATCCGAATTAACTGGAAGTTTTGTATATGAGATACCAAAGAGGAGGAAGAAGACAACAAAGAAGAAGAGCACGAGAAGGAAATGAAGAATCTGATTTGACATTATACTCAACCAGATCAATTTGGCAATATTCTGCTTCTATTTGTCAATGAAGGGATCAATCTTCCTTTCCTTCTTCTGCAGCAGTGCGAGGCAGCAGCCTATCATTAGGGCTCCCATATTGTCCCTTTAGGGGCTTCAGCCCTTGGTTGAAAGAGGCTCAATGGCGCCTATTTGGCTGAGGAAGGGCTTTGTTTTGGGACTGTTAGTGGAATGGCCTACTCTTTTTAAAATAAAGTGTGTTTGGACATAGGACTACTTCACAGATTGTCAATCAAACCTAGGATTCGAGGCAGCAAATCTCAATCTATGTAGAATATCATCAAGTACAAGTACAAAAGGAAAATCTACAAGATAAGTAAAGCTGACTGTTACAGAGCAACCACACTGAAGAATAGTCTTGGACTGTGCTTGGGGTGAAAAAGAACAGAAAGGAGTATCAACTAGTAGAGCAAGGTGAGAAAAGCTGTGAATTTGCAGATGATACTAGTGCCTTTGAGAATATTATGTAATTATGGAAATTTATGTAATTATGGAATTAGGTTAATTGTGAATATTCGATTGATTATATAGGGTTATTGTTGTTTTTCTTCTTAACCGCATGCCTACTTCCCTTCTTTCTCGTCGGTCTCCTTATGAGGCTTTGTTCTCCCAAATTCCTAATTACTCCCTCCTTCGTGTGTTTTGATCTGCCTATTTTGTCCTTCTTTCCTGCAAAGATCGGACCAAACTTAGTGCCCGGTTTGTCCTATGTGTCTTTTTGGGTTATAATCCTACTCATAAAGGCTATCGGTGTTACGACCCTATTTCCCATTGTCTTTATGTCTCCCGTCATATTTCTTTTCTCAAACGTCTACCTTACTTTCACCTTCCTCCTGCCACTGCTCCAGTTTCCAAAAAAGATTTAGTTCATATTGATCCATTTCCTTCTGAGGTTCCTCCTAATGAGTACATTTTTACTGTTCCCCATGACCTTACTCCTTTTTCTCCTCCGTCTCCCCAGCCTGCTCCTTCTCCTTCTTCGTTGTTAGTTTATTCGTGTCGCCAGGCTCTCCTTCCACCAGTTGTCTCTACTTCTACTGCTGATCCTCCTGCTTCTGACGACTCTGATCTTGCTACACACTGATATCCTACTCAAGCACGTCATCCTCCAAATAGGTTAGGTTGGTCTAATACATGTTTTTCTGCTTCCTATCGTACTTTTTTGTCTGCTATTCATTCTTTTTCAGAACCTTGGTCTTACAAGGAGGCTTGTCAGGATTCCCATTGGGATCAAACTATGGAGGATGAGTTGTCTGCTTTACAGAAAACTAGTAGTTGGGAGTTGGTTCTTTTGCTTGCTGGTAAGAATCTGGTTGGTTGCAAACGGGTCTACAAAGTTAAGACTCATTCAGATGGTTCTCTTGAGCGCTACAAAGCTTGTTTGGTTGCCAAAGGTTTCTCACGGGAGTATGGTATCGATTATGAGGAGACCTTTGCTCCTGTTGCCAAGATGATTACTGTCCGTACTTTGATCTTTGTCACTGCTGTTCGTTCTTGGCCTCTTTATCAGATGGATGTTAAGAATGTTTTTCTTAATAGTCATCTCCAAGAGGAGGTTTACATGCGTTCTCCCCCTAACCTTCACCATTCCTCTGGACAGGTTTATCGCCTTTGGTGTGCTCTGTATGGTCTGAAATAGTCTCCTCGTGCTGAGTATGATCACTTTCAGACTGCTGTTACTGCACTTGAGTTTCATCCTTGTGCTCAGGACTCTACTTTATTTCTTCTTTACACCTCTACTAAATTTGTTGTCTTATTACTGTATGTGGATGATATGATCATCATTGGCTCTGACTCTTCTGCTATCTTTGAGATCAAATAGCATCTTTTTCACACTTTTGAAATGAAGGACATGGGCCCCTTGCGGTATTTTCTTGATATTGAGGTAGCTTCTTCTCTCAAGGGCTACTTTCTCTCTCAGGCCAAATATGCCAATGAGGTTATTCATCGTGCCGATCTTACTGACAATAATATTTCTGATACCCCCATTGAGCTTAATGTGAAGCTTACCCCTACTGATGGTGTTCTTCTAGATGATCCTACTTTATATCGAGAGCTTGTGAGTTGCTTACTCTATCTGACGGTTACTCGCCTTGATCTTGCCTATGCTGTTCATGTGGTTAGTCAATTCGTTTTTGCTCCTTGTTCTACACATTGGGTTGCTTTGGTTCGGATTCTTCGCTATCTCCAAGGTACTATATTTTAGGGTTTACGGTTGTCTTCTACTTCATTTTTGGACTTGATAGCTTATGCTAATTCTGATTGGGCTGGTGATGTCACTAATCGCAAGTCTACTTCTGGCTTCTGCATGTTTCTTGGTGATTCCTTGATTTCTTGGAAGAGCAAGAAATAGATTGTTGTTGCGCGTTCCACTGCCGAGGCTGAGTACCGTACTATGACTCATGCCACTGCTGAGATTGTTTGGCTTCGTTGTCTCTTGATTGATTTAGGTGTCCCTCAGTCTTCTCCGACCACCCTTTACTGTAACAACCGCAGTGCTATTCAGATTGCACATAACACTGTCTTTTATGAGTAGACGAAGCACATTGAGATTGATTATTATTTTGTATGTCAGCATCTGCAGTTTGGCTCCATCTCCTTTCCTTTTGTCTCGTCAGCACTGCAACTAGTTGATTTCTTTACGAAGACTCACACCACTACTCGATTTCAGTTTTTTCTTGGCAAACTTCCAATGTTTTCTGTTAAAACACCTTGCGTTTGAGCGAGGGTGTGAGAATATTATGTAATTATGGAAATCTATGTAATTATGGAATTAGGTTGATTGTGAATATTCGATTGATTGTATGAGATTATTTCCCATTCTAGATTAGGTTTAGGATTCCTATAAATATTAGTTGTAATATTTGTATATACAGATATTAGTTGTAATCTTTGTATATACAGAAATATTTATAGGAATCCTAAACCTAATCTAGAATAGGAAATAACCTTATACAATTAATCAAATATTCACAATCAACCTAATTCCATAATTACATAGATTTTCATAATTACATAATATTCTCACAGTGCCAACAAGGCAGAACCAGTTTTGCAATGACACATGAAGTTTGCAAAGGGCATGGACTGCTCAACCTATGAAGTAAAGACTCCAGAAAATCAAAATTATCAGCTTCTTGAGATGCCAATTTTCTAGTTCATGAGCTGTCATTTTTGTAAGGAAACTGCAGGGTATCCTCCTTCAATATTTCCAGGATTCATATCCTGCAGTAACCTTGTATTTATGCTCTCTTTCAGTTTCCATTATCACGATAGCTCAGATGCTGGTATATTTTTGTTTCTCTTTTCTTTATTTCCTGTGATTGTCAAATAACAATCTCCTAAGACCCTAAAATAATTATATTGGAAAAGTTGTTCACGCCTCAGGACCAAATTATCAGAAGTTATATGAAGTGAATGGCAACAAATTCTATAATTTCTACAGAAAGAAAAGAGCTCCTTGAAAATGCATTAGATTGTGTCAGCCCGGAGGCCAAAATTCATTCATCAAACTTCACAATATAATTATGATGTTTTCAGGATTTCTTTGTTGTACGTTGCAACTGGCTTATAATAATCTGAACAAAATTTCAAATCTAGAACAATTTTCAGTAATGGATAGTTCGTGGGTTATTAAAGTTGTCACTGTCTACAGTGAAAGTTTATGAAATAAAACATATTTTAAATTTTATGTTAAAGTCCATGAGTTACACAATCACTGCAATGAAAAGATTCTACAAATGAGAACTCCCGCTTAGGTCCCAAAGAAATTCAAGGTGTAAGGCCTTTAAATTAAGCAAAAAATTTAAAATCCAAACGAATAGCAAACAAAACTGTACTAAGAATTCACAGGATGTGCCCCTTCATTTTCATGTACGGATTTGCATAGGGATTTGTCAAGGGAATGTCACCATTTTCATTTTCATATAAGGATTTGGAATAAGGTAGTGCCTCTTAAAGTTAAGGTCTTTATGTAGACATTGGCTCATAATAGTATCATGAGATTATGACGTTTTAAAAAAAGCACACCTAATTGCAATCTGTGTCTTCAATGGTGTATTATGTGTAAAGGGGATGAGAATCTTTAGATAACTTACTTTTGCATTGCTCATTGGTTTCATCTTTATGGCATCAGATATTTCAAAAGGTGGAAATTTGTTGGGCTGCGGTGTGTTGGCAAATGCTTTTGATCAATTGCTAAGGTTTTGGGTGCAATGATAAAGCAATATTCTCATTGGATTGTATTTTTTATGCAATTTTTCTGTTATTTGGTTGGAGCATAATGCTAGGATCTAGGAGGATTTGATTGAAGAGGTGGCTTCTTTATGGGATAAAGTCTGTTACAAGTTATCTTTTTGGGTTTCAGTCTCCACTTCTTTAGAGGAATTCCACTTCTTTTGATCTCTAGAGATACAAAACTAGCGTGCGATTTGCAGTGCGATGACTCCTTATTTTCCCGTTTCTCTTGTACATTTCTTCTTTTCTAATTATATTTCTTCTGTTGTCAAATAAATAAATAAATAAATAAAAGGGAAGAGAAAAGTGACAAATCCGAATCTTTTTTTTTTTTTTTTCATTTTCCCCTTGCGTTCTCCTTCCCAAAACCAAGATCCAAACATGGCCTCAGTGACAAAGAAGTCGTGGAAAAGCAAGAAAACATACCAGAAAAGTTGAGAAAAAAACACTCGGTAGTCCAGTGACCTGCTAATGTTAAGTTGGTTCAAGAACAGTCTGTAACCAAAATTGTCAACTACATGAACTTATGCCTTGACACTATTTTTTAGCCTACTCAAATCACTTTGGTTGCCAGAAGTCACTGAGCTAGCTGGTAAAGACCCAAAGGCTCCCAAAGCATCCAGGAAGAACCTCTTATTAGGGATTATAGCATCTTTGTCCATATGCACCAGCAATTTTTGTAAAAGCTCCTTCATGTTGGCTTTAGTGTAAGCCTTGTATAGAAGTTTATATGTAGAGGAATCTGGAGAAACCCCAGTATTATTACGTGTACTCTCAAACAACCTGTCTGCTTCCAATGGTAATCCATTCATGCAGTAAACATCAAGCATGGCATTAAGAGTAGACACCTTCATCTCCTTCCCAGCTGCCATCATCCCATCAAATATTTCCCTAGCCCTTGAAACACAATCACAAAACCCATACATCATAATCAAGCACTCATAGGTAATGAAGCTTGGGGTGTATCCCATATCAGTCATTTTTTGAAAAATAAACTCTGCTTTTTCCCTAAGCCGTGCTTTCCCATAGTTTGTGATCATCGAATTAAAGGTAGGAAGTGTTGGTTTCTCCTTGGAACGCAATAAACTCTTAAAGACTTGTTCCATTTTATCAAATTCTTGCTTCCTCCCATATGCATCAATCAGCAAATTAAAAGTGATGGCATCTGGCTTACACTGATTACTCTTCATGCGAGAAAGCACCAACTCCATTTCTCTGATCATCCCATTCTTCCCATATGCATCCATCACACCATTGAAGGTGAAGATATCAGGGCTAACAATGCTCTCATCGAGATCTTTGAACAAAGCATTAACTTGATCAATGTTTCGGGCCTGAGCAAAAGCTCTAAGTAGAATATTGTACGTTACAACGTTAGGTCTACACCGTTCCATTCCCTTCATCTTGTCAAAGTACCCAAGAGCTTTGGCCAAAGCCTTGGATTTCTCTCGAGAGTGAAGGTGGGCAGTGATGAGTGCATTATAAACTGAAGTATCAGGTCGGCACCCACTATTACGCATCTCTGAGAAGAGCCACATGGCCATCCTAGTTTGGCCTTTCTTTCCCATAACTGAGATTAATTTCGAATAAACGCCATTATCAGCTATATACCACCGTTGCTTTTGCATCCACCTGAAGACCTAAAAATATGAGATACATAAGAAAGCGAAGCAACTGTTTGTTGAAGTCAATACGAACTCCTACGTCTAACTTATTAATTCCCCAATTTAGCCAATTCACCGAAATAACAAACCCTCTCTACCATTTATAGTACTGCTTTTAAAATCATCGGCAAAGCAAGCAATACAAATTGTAAACTTGAGATTTATGAAACTCATTACAACCAATTCATCAATACGGTAACCAGACACATAGGTTGTGGTACTGGTAACTTTTACAAGTTAATATGAATGTAATAAGGGCAGTAATGGTTGAAGCTTTGAACTAAGCTAGTGTTTTAGGAATGGTTGACTAAAAAAAAAAGAATAAAAAATACATTGCAAAGATCACAAAATCCAGCAGAAAATGAAAAAATGCACAAGTTTGATTGAAGAGAGGAAAAGAGTTAACCTCAAGGCAGTGAAGCCAGTTATCAGTCTTGCCAAGCTCTTGAAAGAGAAGAAAACAGTGTTCCATTCTGAGAAACTTGGCGTACTTGTTAAGTGTTGAGAGTAAGGGGTTCTTCTTGTCATGGAAATTCCTGAGAAGCAAACGAACCATCTCTTCTGTCTCCTCCGACCTCTTCTCTGCCATGGAACCCGATTTCCTCTTGCTGCAATTGGGTGCTGATACTGGTGCTGCTGCTGCTGCTCTTCTTCTTCTTCTTCTTGGAATTGTTGGAGGAAGACATGGCTGCTGCTGCTGCTGGGCAAGGGTGTAGCTTGGCCAGGTAGAGGTAGAGGTAGAGGTAGGTTGGGTTGGGTTTTTGAAGGGAAAAGCAGGAACAAAAACAACATATGAGATTTGCAGAGAGCAACAAGAAGAAGAATATGATGAATTTGGGATGAACATCATCATCGATGATTATGCATTTGTGTTGTGGAAAACGATTCGGTGAATTGATCCCGCCGGCCTCAATCGAACACCACCCCACTCCCACTCCCACTTCCACTCCCACACCTAACCTATGCCTATGTTTGTTTGGCTCTAGTCCGTCCCACCCATCTTTGTTTGGTCAGGAGTATCACTGAGGAGATTTAACGCCTAGGTTATTTTAATTTTTTTTATTATTTTAGTAAGTTAAAATGATTATATTTTTTTATAATTAAATGTAATGTTTAAAAGGAAAAAAGTGAAATAATTATAAATTTAATATGATATTTTATTTTATTGATTATTTTAATTTATTTTATCTTTTTATAAATTTTAATAAAAAAATTCAATTTTTCACTTCTCAAATCTCTAACTTGTAATTTGGTAGCACTACCAATCTAGGGTTGTGATTAGAAATTGATTTAAGAAAAATTTATGTTTTTTAGAAAAAAATAATTATAATATTAAAAATCAAAATAAAATATTAATTTTATATATTGATATTATATAGTATTACTAATCCGATAGTGCATAAATACACACTTTTTATTCTACATCTCCAACCCAATATCACTACAATAATATTAAAGACTTAGCAATTAAAACATTATTCAAAATTAATCACCATCACACAAATACCCACCCACCCATTCAAGAAATTATAGGTGGATATGTTTGGGTTTCCAAACTTTTCCCTACCCTATGTAGGGGGTTTCAAGGTTAGAGAGGTGATTAGAGAGTCAAAATTATGCTAATGGTCCACTGATGGTGGAAGTGGCTTTAGAATGAACAGCAACAACTATCTGGAAGTTGGAGAGTTTGTAGCTGGGCGACAGTGAAGCAAGTGGCTCAAGAAGAAGTGTATGGTAGTACCAAATTGGGCAGCATCTCCCCAAAATCCCCAAAATTCCTCCCCTGAACCATGGGAAATGGGTCATATTTATTGGCTTTTCCTTGGTACCAAGTGGCCAAATAGAGAGAAGACATGTGTTCCAGAGGATCACATGGAATATTTTGCCTTGAGCCACAAGGCTGAAGGTACCACGTATCCCTCTGCATGTACTGTGTACTATCTGTTTGCCTCCACAACTACCTTTTTGAACCTTAGCAAGTGTAGTTGCGTCGAGAGTGCATGGCGCGACAACTCCCTTTTGGGCCTCAGCAAGTGCAGTTGCAGCGGGAGTTTGTCTCTGCACTTGCCTTTTCAGCTTAAACCTCAGCAAGTGCACTTGCAGCGGTGAAACTTGCCGCTGCACTTGCCTTCTCAGTTCTATTTGGCCAGTATACGCATTCTCAGGACTCCATTAGTCTGCTATCGACTATGTTCGTGCTCACCTCAGCGAAGCCTCCACCCTTAGCCACCTAACCAAAAACTCCCCAGCTTCCCAGGGCGAAGGCCACAGCTAAGCCTGCTATTAACCATGCTGTGCCTTAGTACCAAGCCCAAGGGGGCTTCTTTAGTCCTGCCTGTGTGACCAAGGCAGGTCCATGACCTGGGTAATGGAAAGGGGAGTCCCATATGCTCGGGCTACCCTGCTCCCATCTTCTCGGGGTTGCCACGGTAAACTGGTATTTCTAGGCCTGCTATCAGCTCCAACCAGTAAGTCTTGGAGCTTACTATCAGCGCTAAGTTAAATAAACTAGGGGGCCTGCTATCATATAATATTCCCAACATTTCATCTAGAGCCAAACACACTCCTATGTTAAACCCCATTTAGGATATCTAAACCCAACTCCAAACTTGATAGTAGGTGTGACCAAACACCCCATTTCAACACAAAAAAGAAAAAACAGAAGTGCATATTTTTTTTTCTTCTTCGTTGTCTTCAGTTATCCTTCTCTAACTTTTCTCTACATTCTCTCTCATTTTTCCTTTACCTTCTTGGTGGCCAAACACCACACCCTTGCTCCACCCTTACACCACCACCTTAACCCACCATCTCCACCACCGCCGGCCACCTTATCTCGCCGGAAAAAGGGTCCGGTCGGCCACTCCTTAAATCCATCCAAAAATAGCACAATAGAAGTACCAACTCTAGATTTTTCTTAATCTTTTGAAGAATCAAAGCATGGGGTTTATTTTCTTGATGGATTAGAGGCTTGTAATTGGTAAGAATCTTTCTCTAAAAGTTTAGTTGAAGGTTTTACATATTTTGAGTTAGAGATGATGAAATTTTTGTGTTTTAGATCTATTATGATTTGGGGTTTGCTTGTTGAATTTTATACTCTCAATTAGTTTCCATGAATGTTTTACATGTTTAAAAAAAAAATGGTCAATTTGATGGTTGATTTGGAGATTAAGATTTTGGGTTAATCTAGGGTTTGAATGTGATGTAAAAATTGGGGATTTTGGTGTTAGGGAATTTATATGTTGAAATTGAGTTGATAAATGATGGATTGGGTATCTCTATGTTCTATGGAGGAATTTTATAAGTGATTGAAGAGATTTTACTTAAGTTGTTGAGTTTATAAAAAATGTTGATTTTTTGACTTTTGTAGTAAATTGATGGTGGTATTGTGCATATAAATTGATTGGATATTAATCAACAGAATTTGACTCACTAGAATGACTCGAGTCTGATCCCAACTCTACAAACTTGGGGGAATCAAACTTAGACTCAATACTCAATTCAGAACTCAGAATAAATTAGCAAATGTGAGTTTTGGTTAGATCGTGTCGTATTTTTGGGGCATGTGATTTCGGGTGAAGGTATTTTTGTGGATCCGAAGAAAATAGAGGCTGTGGTGAATTGGGATCGTCCTACTAACGTGACCGAGGTGAGGAGCTTTTTAGGGTTGGCAGGCTACTACCGTAGATTTGTAGAGGGGTTTTCATTGATTGCGGCACCATTAACACATTTGACCCGTAAGAATACCAAATTTGAGTGGACGGAGAATTGTGAAAAGAGTTTTCAAGAATTAAAGAAGCGATTAACTTCTGCCCCAGTGCTTACTATTCCGTTGAGTGGTGAAGGATTTGTTGTTTACAGTGATGCTTCTTATCAAGGGCTCGGTTGTGTGTTGATGCAACATGGAAAGGTAGTGGCCTATGCATCTAGACAATTGAAGAACCATGAACGCAATTATCCCACCCATGATTTAGAGCTCGCAGCGGTTGTTTTTGCTTTAAAGTTGTGGAGACATTATTTATACGGGGAAAAATGTGAGATATATACTGATCATAAGAGTTTGAAATATTTATTCACACAGAGGGATTTAAATTTGAGGCAAAGGAGATGGGTTGAACTGATTAAGGACTATGACTGCACCATTAATTATCACCCAGGAAAAGCTAATTTGGTGGCCGATGCTCTTAGCCGAAAATCTACAGGGAAATTAACTCACATTCAGGGCATTCAATTTAGTCTCTTACATGAAATAAAATCTATTGGAGTTGATCTAGCAGTTGGGAAGTCGGGATCCTTGTTAGCTACAATTAAAGTGAGACCTTTGTTAGTGGATCGGGACTAGGTTTGGCAAGCAGAATAAAGGAGGTGTTCAATCCGATAGACAAACCTCGCAGGGGAGAGTTTTTGCTTTGACTCAGCGGGATGCTCAGGCTAATCCGGAGCTGGTAACAGGTATTATTTATGTGTTCAGTAGGGGGGCACATGTACTTATTGATCCGGGTTCTACACATTCTTTTGTATTTCTATCATTTTCTTTGCATGTTGGATGTATTGATGGATTCGTGATTAGTATGTATTATATTTTTTTTGGGAGGAAATGCTTGGGAACTATCTTGTAGCATGATAATACTTTTTGTCTTTGATTAGATCATCTCATGCATGTTATTGAAAGGTCTTATGCACTTTTGGTGATATGGTGATGTGATGTAAGGATTATACAGGAATTGTGGTGTAAAGGTGCTATAGCGTTTGAGGTGCACCCTCTTGACGGGGTTTTGCCTTGCCAAGATTGGGTCGTTACATTTTTGGTATCAGAGCATTAGGTTATGAATATGTAGACTAGTTACTTTAGAATCAAAGTTGATAGGGTATTGTAGCTAGTAATTCGATTAGTGATGATGTTTAATAGCGATCCAGTATTCTAAGTTTTAATTGTCTTGTTATACAGGCGCGTATGGCAAGGCGAAAAGTTCATAAGAGTCGCCCTCTTATAGAAGTACTTGAGGCTGAGCGAGAGCCACATCTTAGTGTTGGAAATGAAGTTCCACCTCGGGTTCAGGAAGAAGAGATTGAACATGAGTCGCATAATGAGCAAACTCAAGAGTCAAGTGCCAATCCAGAAGTGGGACATTCAGATAGAGTTGTTCCACCAAGGGCTAACGTAGCTCCAGCATTTTTAGACCCTAGTGTGCAGCGCCTTTTAGAGTTAGTGGCTAGCCTAGCGGAGAGGCAAACTCGCATCCTTGAACAACATAATGCAGCACAGTCTAGGCCATTTGTGCAACCTATAGAGAACCGCCTCACCGCAATTGAGAGGTTCAAGAAATTGGGGGCTCCATCATTTTCTAGATCGCCCAATCCTATGGAGGCAGAGGCCTGGTTAAGAAGGGTAGAGCAGATATTTTCTGTGATGAAAGTATCAGACGGGCAACGAGTTGCACTTGCTAGTTTTATGCCGGTGGAGGAGGCTGAATATTGGTGGGAGGCCACGCAACGCCTATTTACGGCAGGTGGCACCGAAGGATTGACCTGCAACCAATTCACTAAGGTTTTCAATGACAAGTACTTTCCAGCTACCTATCGGTATGAAAAAGAGAGAGAGTTCCTTCGGCTAGAGTAAGGGGATTTGACTGTAGCTCAATATGAAGCTAAGTTCATTTCTTTATCTCATTTTGCCCCTTCGTTTGTGGATGATGAGGAGGTCAAATGTCGTCGTTTTACAGATGGGTTGGATTTGGACATCAAATCTCGTATCTGAGTATTGGGAAAAACTAACTATTCGACCTTGGTTGATAAAGCCTTAACAGCTGAGAAAGATGTCATAGAAATGAAGTTAGCGGAACAACAGAAGAAGCGCCACCTTAGTTCATCCCATCATAAGAACACATCTAATAGACCGTCAAAGAGAGGTGGTCATGGTTATGGTTTAGTCAAGAGCTCTAGTGCATATCAAAAAAATAGAGAGCATCTCACCCCAACCCAAAGCATTTCTAATCAGCATCATGGACAG